GAGACCAAGACCAAGACCAGAGTGTATCGAGACTGAGACCAAGACCAAGACCAGAGTGTACAGAGACTGAGACCAAGACCAAGACCAGAGTGTATCGAGACTGAGACCAAGACCAAGACCAGAGTGTATCGAGACTGAGACCAAGACCAAGACCAGAGTGTATCGAGACTGAGACCAAGACCAAGACCAGAGTGTATCGAGACTGAGACCAAGACCAAGAACAGACTGTATCGAGACCGAGACAAAACCAAGACCAGAGTGTATCAAGACTGAGACCAAGACCAAGACCAGAGTGTATCGAGACCGAGACAAAATCAAGACCAGAGTGTATCGAGACTGAGACCAAGACCAGAGTGTATCGAGACCGAGACCAAGACCAGAGTGTATCGAGACCGAGACCAAGACCAAGACCAGAGTGTATCGAGACCGAGACAAAACCAAGACCAGAGTGTATCGAGACCGAGACAAAACCAAGACCAGAGTGTATCGAGACTGAGACCAAGACCAGAGTGTATCGAGACTGAGACCAAGACCAAGACCAGAGTGTATCGAGACCGAGACAAAACCAAGACCAGAGTGTATCGAGACTGAGACCAAGACCAGAGTGTATCGAGACTGAGACCAAGACCAGAGTGTATCGAGACTGAGACCAAGACCAAGACCAGAGTGTACAGAGACTGAGACCAAGACCAAGACCAGAGTGTATCGAGACTGAGACCAAGACCAAGACCAGAGTGTATCGAGACTGAGACCAAGACCAAGAACAGACTGTATCGAGACCGAGACAAAACCAAGACCAGAGTGTATCAAGACTGAGACCAAGACCAAGACCAGAGTGTATCGAGACCGAGACAAAACCAAGACCAGAGTGTATCGAGACTGAGACCAAGACCAAGACCAGAGTGTATCAAGACCGAGACAAAACCAAGACCAGAGTGTATCGAGACTGAGACCAAGACCAGAGTGTATCGAGACTGAGACCAAGACCAGAGTGTATCGAGACTGAGACCAAGACCAAGACCAGAGTGTACAGAGACTGAGACCAAGACCAAGACCAGAGTGTACAGAGACTGAGACCAAGACCAAGACCAGAGTGTATCGAGACTGAGACCAAGACCAAGACCAGAATGTATCGAGACTGAGACCAAGACCAAGAACAGACTGTATCGAGACCGAGACAAAACCAAGACCAGAGTGTATCAAGACTGAGACCAAGACCAAGACCAGAGTGTATCGAGACCGAGACAAAACCAAGACCAGAGTGTATCGAGACTGAGACCAAGACCAGAGTGTATTGAGACCGACGCAAGACCAAAACCAGAGTGTATATATATATATTATAAACAGTATATAACAGTATATATATTATAAACTCTAAAAAATGCTGGGTTGTTTCAGCCCAAATTTGGGTGAAGTATGGACAAACCCAAATGCTGGGTAAATGTCATTTAAAATTTTAATCCAACATTTGGGTTTGTCTATATTTGACCCACATTTGGGCTGAAACAACCCAGCATTTTTTAGAGTGTATATTTGCATATATATATATATATATATACATATATAATGGATAATAGTGTGTGTGTGTGTGTGTGTGACCATGTGTATGTGTGTTGAGCGTCCCCTGTGCGCAGGGGTCTCCGCTCAAGCGTGCATCATGTGTTTGTGTCTGTGTGGCCCTCATGTGCTCCGCTGACATTTCCCTGGCTCTCCACAGTTGACATTTCCATCCTGTCAGATCAGTCTGGATTTGCCCATGCGTCACATCAACTAACACACATCTCTAAAGAAACTTACACACATCTCTAAAGAGCCTGGCAATAACACAACCCCGCCGTTTGGGGAGAGACAACAAATATAATATAAGACTGACAAAGCAAAACAGAAATTAAAAATATACATTTGAGAGCTATCTAAGGAGAAGATGCTTGATTATTTGCAGACGGATTCACGTCAATAATCAACTCAGATGGCATTATAGGGACATTCCCAAAGTATCCTTGCCTACTAGAATACTTTATCTTTATTTATACCATGGTCTGTCTGAATACTTGATCCTGATTGGTTGGATGGTTTGCATTAAAATCTCTCTCTCTCTGTAATTCTATCAAATACATGTAATTTTGATCTATCTGTGTGTGTCTCTGTGTATGTCTGTGTGTCTGTCTATTTTCTATTTACTTTTCATTTTGTAATCATGTGTAATGTGTTAATCTGCTAAACATTTGTCAACTTTTGACATGGAATAAAAGCCACAAAACCTCAATTTGGGGTCTTTAAATAATGACTCTTAAAGTCAAAATAATCAAAACAACAGAATTCCCAGTGCATAACAGAAAAGCTATGCATATGAATTGGACAGAAATATTAAATACCCCTCATTCTCAGTTTCCGAACACAAACACCAGATGCTACAACAGAAGGTAATGTCATAAAAGTGACAATGTGGCCTACCTCTCGGGAGCATTCATGAAAGATTGCATTTGTCAAGTCAGACTTACAACAAAAGGTTTTTTCTTTTCTTTTCTGGTCTTTTCGAGAGAGTGAATAAACTGGGCTCATACTTTTCTGACACCTCGTGCGGGTCGGAGACGGCGGAGCGTCCTGTCGAGGGAGTGTCGAACACCAAACAGCCTGTATCCATCAGATTATCAAGAGTCAGAGATAAGGTGTCCGCTTGGGGAAGTTCGCTCAAAGATAGAGTAAAAATGCTCTGTAGAAACTCTCACTGGTCGGGTGATTTTTCTTCAACAAGAAATCCTTTCTAACAGAACATCAGACTCAACAAACAACCCGACGTTTCAATTCCGCCTGAAGATGGGCAGACGGCCTAAAAGTGTCCAACACGAGAGGATTAAGCAGAAGACTGTCCTCCTATTGATTTCTCCTTTGCAGGAGACAGACCTGAGCTGTGGTCATCGTACACACAGGAGTCAAAGGTCAAATGTCTTTGCTAAACCCAACAGGGACCAGAGTTAAAATTCTGCTTCAATACTCAAAACTGAGCGTAAAAAACCCTGCACATGTTCTGGTTTTAGCTATAAATTTCCTTATATGTGGCACATTTTTGACTAATTTCAATAGCTAACAGATCACTACTTATCAAAAGATTTTTTAAATGTTTTGGAAAGAAGTCTCCCCTGCTCACGGACCAAGGCTGCTTTTATTTGATCAAAAATACAGTAAAAAAAACAAACAGTAATATTGTGAAATATTATTACACTACCACTCCTCACTACCATCATACTGCCAATATTGTATTAGTCAATTTTTATTTATATTTTTATTTCCATCTTTCCTCCTATAGGAACTACGGAAGAGGATTAGGGCCAAGCAAAACAAATAAAATAAAACCATCTCGAGATTAAAGCCATTATAATGCGAGATTAAACTTAAAAATAGGTTAAATTTCACGAAAAATGTCAAAATACAATCTTGAGAATAAACTCATTAAATATCGAGAAAAAAGTCGAAATACAATCTTGAGAATAAACTCATTAAATATCGAGAAAAAATGTCATGTTTTGAGAAAAAAAAGTTGAAATACAATCTTGAGAATAAACTCATTAAATATCGAGAAAAAAGTCGAAATACAATTTTGAGAATAAAGTCATTAAATATTGAGAATAAAGTCGTTGTGTTTCGAGAAAAAACTTGTTAAATTTTAAGAAAAAAAAGTCGAAATACAATCTTGAGAACAAACTCATTAAATATCGAGAGTAAAGTCGTTGTGTTTCGAGAAAAAACTCGTTAAATTTCGAGAAAAAAAAATCGAAATACAATTTTGAGAATAAACTCATTAAATATCGAGAATAAAGTCGTGTTTTGAGAAAAAACTCGTTAATTTTTGAGAAAAAAAGTTGAAATACAATCTTGAGAATAAACTCATTAAATATCGAGAGTAAAGTCGTTGTGTTTCGAGAAAAAACTCATTAAATTTCGAGAAAAATAGTCGAAATACAATCTTGAGAATAAACTCATTAAATATCGAGAATAAAGTCGTCGTTTTTCGAGAAAAAAATCGTTAAATTTCAAGGAAAAAAAGTTGAAATTCAATCTTGAGAATAAACTCATTAAATATCGAGAATAAAATTGTTGTGTTTCGAGAAAAAACTCGTTAAATTTTGAGAAAAATAGTCGAAATACAATCTTGAGAAAAAACTCAATAAATATCGAGAATAAAGTCGTTGTTTTTTGAGAAAAAAGATCGTTAAATTTCGAGAAAAAGTCGAAATACAATCTTGAGAATAAAATCATTAAATATCGAGAATAAAGTTGTTGTGTTTCGAGAAAAAACTTGTTAAATTTAAAGGAAAAGAAGTCGAAATTCAATCTTGAGAATAAACTCATTAAATATCAAGAACAAAGTCGTTGTGTTTCGAGAAAAAACTCGTTAAATTTCAAGGACAAAAAGTCGAAATTCAATCTTGAGAATAAACTCATTAAATATTGAGAAAAAAGTCGAGTTTAATTTCGTATTATAATGAATTTAATCTCGAGATGGTTTAATATTTTTATTATTGCTTGGCCCTAATCCTCTTCCGTATGGAACAATTCCCATTGTCAGCACTCTCCAAAATAAAAGATAATATAATAAGATAATATAAGATAACTCTTCAGTCCCTATCTTGTCCATTTTTTTCTTTCTGTATGTTATGTGTAATGTCTAAGATGCATTAAAAGAAGGAGTACAGTGTGGGAGTGTCTCAACTTGGGACAGAGTTGCTGTCCCATAGAAACCTGTCTTGCCTGCCTAAGTGATTGTGAGGTTTTTCATAAATATACATTTTTTTTTATTAATTTTTTTTTTTTTTTTAGGGTTAGGACCATTATTAATAATCATCAAATCAACACAGAATGATTTCTGAAGGATCATGTGACAGTGAAGACTGCAGTAATTATTCCAAACTTTTGCCTGGTATTAAATGCAATATTCGTGCGTGTAAAAGAAAATGTTCCAGTTCATCCAAAATGTATGATAAAGAGGTCCAGTCTCTCACCTTTGATGTCCCACAGTGTAAAGTGTCGGTTGTTGGAGGCTTCGGGTGCCAGCGTGAAATAGAAGCGATGTCCAGACTGCGGTTCATCCCTGTCCACTACGCTGATGGTGTGAATGAGCTGGAGAAAGAGACAGAAATAGATTTGAATAAAATATCGTACATGCATGACTCCTCAAATCATACGCGTTGTTGAATAAGGAGTGCTGTTAGGTTAATAAGTGATCAGATGCTGGATCATAAAACCGAAGGAACGTAGACCAGATTGCATGACTACTCATATTCAGTCAACTACTCATCCAGAAAAGTAGTCGACAAGTCAATATATACCTTATGTAAATGACTCACTGTGCAGCTGTTTCTGGAGCACGTCCACACGGCCGACACCGGTGACAGACCAAAGTGTGCATACTATCTATATTGCCAAGTTCATGCAGCTGGTGCTGTCACAAACAGTGCTTGCAAACACAAGTCGTGCCGTGCAGTTCCTGTCAGCCTCTGGCCAACACTTGATAGGTTGAAGGGAAGTTATTTTTAAAGGGATAGTTCACTTTGAAATTAATTTTTGTTTTACCTCAAGGGCATCCAAGATGTAGGTGTCTTTGTTTCTGCAGTAGTTCATATTTTTAGGTCAAACCGTTCTTTTCTGTCTCATACGGTTCGTTTTTTTCTCACACAAACCGCTCGTTTCGTGTCTTAGGCCATCAATGTGTACTTACATTTACGAGTCATTAAATCATGTTTAATCTGGACTTCTCTGTGCATGCTCTTTGAGGTGGTGACCATAGACCTCCATTATATGACTGACAGACAAGAACGGTTTGACCTAAAAATATCAAAATTGAAACTACTGCTGAAACAAAAACACCTACTGTACATCTTGGATGCCCTTGAGGTAAGATAAAACATACCAAAAAACTAATTCAAAGTGAACTGTCCATTTTAAAGCCTTGAATGCATCTTGGAAGACATTTAAACTGGATCTTTTCTTATGCATGAGTAAAATTTTTACACTTAGTAAAAAATGCATGAATTTTGCTAATGTGCAAATGTTTTAAATCTTAAATATTCTGTTTTGTCTTCTTCCGAGAAAATCAATGAAGTCGCCCAAGAAGTGTTAACAGATCCAAACACCATGAAAATAATTTGGATGTGGCTTTTTTTTATAAAAATAAATAAATAAATAAATAAATACAGCTTCCCAATTCAATTCCCAATCTTGCAAACTGACGGGCAGCATTTCATCCACAAGCACTAGTGCAAACCGACGCAGTAGATGAGGGATGTTTGGAAGGAGGCGCTCAGCGGGACTTCTGCAAAACTTCTCTTTCAAGCTGAGAAGAGTTCAATAAACAAACATCTTTAAAATGTAACATGGCCCGTTTCCCCTGCTTCTCGGTCATGTGGCTGGCGTTTGTGTACGTTTTCTGCACCCCAGACAATGCCAGCAGTCAGTGGAGTTGGAGCATGTAGAATAAAGTGTCGTAAATGTGACCTGCCGTCGCCGTGGCCTATGCATTATCATCCGCAGACAGAAGTGGAGCGCTGCGAATAATGAAGCGCATGGGAAGAATAGGCTAGAATCAACCATAAACATTATCAGCTGCCAAGACTTATGAAAAATGCTTTGGAGTTTCATCACCTGGAGTTTTACTCTAGTGTCCAGAACATTTGTAATTTCAGGGTTCATTGCCTGGTGGTTTAATTACGTTCCAAATGAATGTCTATATCGGTCACAGCTGGTTAATTCTGATGTTGGATCACTATACTTCAATTATTCATTTGTCCCACCATGAAAATGAGTTATTTTATAACTGCCAACACATTACAATAAGGGTGGAAAAGTTGCATCAATGAAAAGCCTTAGCTATTATTGACAATAGAAGATTTGTTACTTTGTTAGTTCATTGTGCATCAACTGATGTTCACATGTATAACTTTTACTGTTAAACAAATGAGGTAATATATGTGGACATTATTTTTAATGAAGATTGATGTGTGCTGTAAAAGTGTGTTTCGTTCACTTTAAAAAACGATTTCTTGATTTGTTATCACAACCTTTTTTTTTCTTTTGTCAAATCAACATAGATTCACTAATGTTGTCTATAGCTAATGTAAAATTTCGAGTTTTAATTAAAATAATCTCTTTCTAACTCAAATTTGTTGTTCAAAATGTGAAGGCAACCAGGTTTCTTACTTTGAAGTTAAAAGTGAAAAGGAAACACTGTAGATACACACACACACACACACACACACACACACACACACACACACACACACACACACACACACACACACACACACACACACAGGGCGATCCAAAATAAAAGTTTGTGTTTACATAACGCATGTGGGAGCACTGTGTATAATTATTATTATTTAATATATATATATATATACACACACACATGCTTGTATATGAAGAGTTCAGATGCAAAAGCCTCTAAATGCCATTTGAAATTTTCTTCTTTAATGATGATTTTGATCAAACTTGTATATTTAAGTTCAGTAATTTCACTTAAATGGCAATGATAATTACCTATTAATTGTTATTTAAGTGAAATTACTGAACTTTGATAAAAATCATCATTAAAGAAGAAAATTTCAAATGGCATTTAGAGGCTTTTGCATCTGAACTCTTCATATATTTAAGAAATATTTTCATGTATATACTCCATATAGATTTAAATATAATTTATATTATATATAAATATAAATATTTTATATATAAATGATATTTTATATATATATATGTATATATATACGTATATATATATATATATACGTATATATATATATACGTATATATATATATATATATATATCATTTATATATACATGCATGTGTGTGTATTTATATATATATACAAAATAATTATACACAGTGCATGCATTATGTAAACACAAACTTTAATTTTGGATGCAATTAATCACGATTAATCGTTTGACATTAATCGTTTGTGTGTGTGTATATATATATATATATATATATATATATATATAAACAAACTCTCTTTGTATGCAAAAGATTCTCCCAAAAAAATATATAAATTGTATTATTATTATTATTATTATATATAAAGAAAGAAAAACTGAAAAAAACAACCACACAAGACCCAGGTTGAACTCCTAAGCAGTCCACACTTTTGTTTTGACAGAAAATCTCATTTTAAGCCATCTTTTTTTTTACGATGTAATGTATAGCCGATGTTTGCATGTGTTTAACACCAAATGACAAGTAGGATTTCACACTAGGCTTTCTAAACTTAACTTTACGTTAACTTACTCTCGTAATGATTGGCAAGCCTGCCCGCAGCTCACAGCCTGTGATAACAGCACTGCCGTGAATGAATGTTAACACTGAGGTCTGTTTCTGTGCCAGAATATGTTTCCATGTGAGCTTGACTGACAGTCAGTGGGCTCGAAACCAGCATGAGTAAATGTGCAGTCCAGCTCTTATACATTAGACGGATATCAGCACCTCAGGGCAGAAACATACTGTAAATAACATAGTGTGTGTGTGTGTGTGTGTGTGTGTTTCCTACTGCAGTGGTAAAAAGAAAAACATCAGTACTCAATGGGTGTCAGTTTCCTTCAAACGTGGGCCGTTAGGTGTAGATATATGCATTTCAACTGTTTAAAGTAGTAGTCACACACACACACACACACACACACACATAGAAATTCTCATTTTTTACTCAACCTTGAGTCTGTTATTTGTTTCCCATGATTGCAATAATAATAATAATATTTAATACTTTTTTTGGAGAATCTTTTGCATACAAAGAGAGTTTATGGTGACCAAAAACACAGTAAAAATACAGTAAATAAAAAATACAGTAAATAATACAATATGTATATACTTAGCTTATACTATATAATAGCTATATAAAAACAGACTGAAATTTAAGTTGATGTTCACAGATACTATTCCCTACTGCCAAATCTCTTAATTATGTTAATGTAAAAGACATTTAATTTATTTATTCATATATATATATATATATATATATATATGTGTATATATATGTGTATATATATGAAGAGTTCAGATGCAAAAGCCTCTAAATGCCATTTGAAATTTTCTTCTTTAATGATGATTTTTATCAAACTTGTATATTTAAGTTCAGTAATTTCACTTAAATAATATTGCCATTTAAGTGAAATTACTGAACTTAAATATACAAGTTTGATAAAAATGATCATCCTAGAAGAAAATTTCAAATGGCATTTAGAGGCTTTTTGCATCTGAACTCTTCATATATATATATATATATATATATATATATATTTAATATATATATATTTTTTTTATTAAATTTATTTATTCATTTATATATATATATATATATATATATATATATAATAGCTTATTATAACTTATTATAGCTTATAAAGGCATCTGCCTAATGTATAAAAGTAAATATGTTGCATTGATGCCAAAAGTCATTGTCTCTGTGCACCACTTCAAAATGCAGAATTAAGCATGACATTTGAGAGACTTTAATTATTTCCTCACGCAAATCTATCGTATGACTTTATAAGACATGTGCATAACAGCACAGAGGTTTGATATGGCATGATGCGAGAGTGAGCGATCAATGACAGAATGTCAATGTTAAAGCTTCTGTGGTATTTTTACATTGTATGCATTTGGCAGACACTTTTATCCAAAGCAAAAGACACATTCACAATCTCATTAGTTCTTGCTTACCTTGGGAACCAAACCCATGACCTTGGCATTGCAAGCGCCAACGCTCTATTGTTTGAGCTACAGCGAATGATGGGTTCCTCGTCCATTAGAGTCGAAGCGAACGCGTCCTGGAGGACCGAGGCTTAAACACAAGCACTTTGCCACTTTTGGAAACACCAGCTTTAATCATTTTGAAGGGAAGACATCAGAGTTAGTGTGGGGTCTCCTTTGAGTATATACTGTGTGCGTCTCAAGCATTTGTCCTTGCTTTCACTTTCCGTGTGTGTGCGCGCGTGTTTCCCTTTCATTTTCCAATCTGAGGAAGCTCGAGTGTTCCTCTCTGACTTTAGGGAGCAGGAAAGACTTTGCAAAAAGAATTTTTAATTTACTTTATTTTTTCCTCCCCTCTTCTCTAATTACACTTTTGG